AAAAACTGTTTACCAACCTGTAGTAACTGTTATAAAACTACCATCTGAACATTATTGGTGTATCAAAACATTCAAATATCTGAGAAATATTTTGAAATAATGTTGAATATGTATTTGTAGATAGCAAAACTACTTCAAGTATGCCATAATTCTCTTAAAGATAAAGCAGGATTACTCTAGTGATAAAATTGACAGGATATAGAAGCATTTAATTTTCCAATGCAAATCAAATTACTTGAAAAATGAATCTATAATTAAAGATAAACTTAGGCCACTAGATACTGCCATAAATCAATTAAAGAAATCTTCTAAAATACAAGACTATACTAACTCTGCACTTTAAACTTATATCTCAACCAAAATTGAGGACTGCATTGCCTCTCCCAGTCATCTCTGCCCTCAAAAGTAACTCATGCCATAGGTGAGTTTCATTAATGAACATGGTAGGTATGCTTTGTAATAAAAATGCTATGGTGCATTTAAACGTGTTAACAGCATTCCTTAATTCTAACCTGAGGGAAGTAGATGATGAAAAAGTAAGTGCTGCTTCAACTTTTTTATCTGGGGCTAAGTTGCTTGATAGTAATTCATGGATAGTAGCTTACTGCTGGGAGGAAATGTTAGAATAAATCAGTGTTTACATCATCATATCTAAATCAGAACTAAATAAAAAGGCTGGCTTAATGAGGTCACAGCCTGTCTATTCCTCAGTTTTCCCACCTGGGCAATGTGGATACCAATACTGCCTCTAGGGCTGTGAGCTAAGCGCTCAGAATGAATGGTACATGGTACTTAATGAAGAGACAATACATACTAGGTGCTATTATTTTTTGTTATCTCATTACTGTTTTCAGTACTCCTATCATGACTCATTTATATGACAAACTATATAGAAACAAAAGTCCTCCCTTTTCAAACAGAATGAAAATCTTCAAATAAATCAGACCATGCTGCACGCATTTGACTACTGATGTTAGAATATTTCCAAAGTCAGCTACGGTATCCTTGAAACAGAGGGGAGACAGGATGGACTGATCTGTTGTAAGGAAATGGCACATTCCAAAGCATGCATTCCAGAGAGCTGGAATGTCAACCTCATGCACATGTACACATAGAAGTACATAAATATTGCTATGAACAAATGCTATACCAATTATCAACTCATTTGCAAAGTACTTACAGGGTAAAGGTTTATAATTCAGGCTACTTGAACTGACTTACTCTTCCAAGTTACTATAACTGGAGAGATTATTTTGTTTACTGTTCAAGCACAAATACTGATTATAATTTGACCTTCTCCAAACTTCTGCCTTCATGAAAGCCACATACCTAAGGGCCTTTAAAACCCAGGCCCAAAAACTTGTCTAGATCAGAGTGGGCTAAAATAAATGTATTCTAAAGAGTTTGTGTGAAGAGCAAAACAGGGGGCAGCAAACAGGCCAAATCCAGCCTGCTGTATGTTTCTGTAAATAAAATGTTACTAGAACACCCCATGCCCATTCCCTTTCTTGGTAGCTAGGGCTGCCTCTGCATTACAATGGCACAGCTGAGCAGTTGCCACAGGGACCATTTGGCCCAGGAAGCCCAAAATAGTTACTATTTGGTCCTTTACTGCAAAAGTTTTGCCAGTGTTTAGAACGACCTTTGAAATTAAATGTCAGTTTTATAAGGGCATTTCAGCGAACCTGGAAATACCACAGGTAGAGCAAAGGGATAAACCATACAAGAGAGCTCCCCCTTCCTGCCCACCTCCAAATACAGTAAATTTAGAGTAGCCTCTCCAAATTATTTCATTTGCTGATAACAGGAGTACATGGAAACATGGATACATGGAAAGAAGAAAAGTAAAGTACATACAATATAATAAAGATTCTTTCTTCTAAAAGAAGAACTACTATTTTCAAGACAGAGGAACCAAGCTTGCTTTATAAAGCACACACAAAAACAAACATTTGTATTTTTTAAAAGGTCACCTTACCTTAAATATATATTTTAAAGTTGAGGAGTTTATAGATTCTTTCCCACCTACTATATTTAGAGTTCATTATGACCTCCAATAGATATATAAGATGCAATTTAAATCATTAAGTGACACAACAACACTTCTGAAAAAAGAACTGACTAAAAAAGATCCACACAAACAGGATAAGTAAGATTGGAAGAGTTTAGGTTTTAGCTATCTATTCTGTTACACATAATCAAGGATGATCTGGTACTAAGGAATACAAAAATAGCAATCAATTTAACAGAATTACTTTATATTTGGTTAATATATGTATTTTGATAGCCTGTATACAATTAGATATAATGAAACTGCTTGGAAATGGGATTTTTAAAATCACTTTGCTCCACAAGTCTTTCAAATTCAAAAAATTGACCATAAATAAAATATCATCCACGAACATCAAGAAAAATGGCAAAGAAATCATCAAAACACAAGACAGAAAGAAAACTATCATACCTTTAGAATTTCTATCACCAAAACCAATAATATAAACCAGTAATATAAACCAATACTATAAAGACCAAAAAAGGAGCCCAATGAGTTCCACATCGACTTTACTAAGCTTCCAACCATTCACTACTTATGCAAAATGAAACATTTTCCCAGTACTTACTACTTTTTGTATGCAAGATACTTTTATAATCTGAAAAATTTAACTAATACTTTAGAACACTACTGAAAACCAGAATAGATAACATTTCCAGAACTAAGTTTTTCAGACTAGTTTATTAATGTCTGAATCTGTTTTAAAAATTAAGTTCAACACTTCAGAAACAACTATATTACAAAGTCTGACTGATTATTTTAACTAAAATAACAAGACCACTAAAGATTATAAAGAAACATTTAGATCAGTCATGTCACCATATTTTATGATTCATCATTTTATGAATAACAAAATCTGTGTAACAGAACAACAAAACTCAAGAAATACAAGGAAATCTAATCATTTTACAATTATATGGAAACAATTTTAGAAATTTTTTTTAAATTGAGACACAAATATATACAGTCTTCCAACTTATCTGTTATGAATTATTTAATATTTAAATTACATCAACATAGAAATGCTTTGAATAATGACATATTTTACTGTTTCCCAGGACCATGCCCACTTGTCAGCAATAAACTTGAGCTCCACAGATACTTGTATAGAGGTGCTTCAGTGATTCAAGGTTCATCCTTGAGTGTGTTCTGCCTGAAATGTATTACTATCTAACATATAATAGACCTTATGATAGACCTTAAACATTGGCTTTTACTAACAGTACTTTTATATTTTCTAAGTCCAATGTATTCAGAAAGTCCTTATGTGTACACTGTTTCAACATCAAAACACATACAATAGGAATTCAATAAATTCAACAAAATTCTACAGCTCTAATAAGCAATATAAAAATATTCATTCCATATCTTAAGCATTTAACATGCTACAAATCATCCGACAGACAGAAACACAAGACACAAAAGGATGGTAAAATTGAATCCCAACTTCTTATAAAATAACTTAGGCTAGAAACTATTTCATTTCTGTCAAACAACATGTTATTCTTGGAAACAGAATATGAACCAACACGGTAAGCACTTGAAAAATGATTCAAATGTGAATTAAATTTTAATTATTTATAAAGACAAGCATAAATAAAATAAAGGATAGTGTTCAGCAAGTTGATGCAGAAAATTCAAACAGCTTGCTCAAATACACTGAATTAATTATAGAACAAAATAAACCTTAGCATTTTCCAATTCTCTTAAGCCTGCCTGACTGAGGTCTTTAATAACCCAATTACAATCACACCTATACACAAGACCTCCCCTTCCCTCTCTATAACACGGAGGATTTTGCAGCAGTTTTCTGTTCTTCAACCAATCAAGTGCCACTCGCCAGAGGATAGACACACGCTGGCAAAGGCAAGGGGAGTAAAAGTAAAGAGCAAGGAGAGGGAGAGAAAGGGCAGAGAAGGGGAGGTAAAAGAAAAATATACTCCAGCAGACATCCACAGGGCCTTCTCTGCTTCCTTCATGGCACTGTCTCAAGCCTAAGACTCTCTGGGAAGAAACCCTCAGCTCTGATTCAGATCCCCATGTTTCTCACCTCCATGGTCATGGCCAGGGTCTAGAGATGAGTGAGGAAGACCCACTCCCAACAAGCCAAGTTGGAACTCTGGTTTTGTAATAAAACTTTGCTTATATATATATAAGGTGACTGAGTTCTAAGCTAGTGTTTCTAAGATTTTAAAACTTTCTTCCTTTAAAAATAGGACTAGTTGGGAGATACAAATGCCTTCAAATTTTACATAAACTCACAAGAGTTCATGAATTTTAGCATAAGACACCCTTGCCCCATAGCACTGTCATTGCTGAATTTTAGGAACATTACACACCAAGAAGACTCCCCTGCCAGGCTAAGGACCAAAAAGTCTGTGCAGTATTTCTTCTAAGGCAAAATAAAGAGTTCCAAATAATGATTTTCTAAAGAAATTGCTCAAACACAACCCTATCACAAAATAGATCATGGTATTTCTATGATAACAAGGTAACTGAATGATTTAAAGAAAGTCGTTTGTATGCTAACAGGTATCACCTTAATTTTATAAAGAGGGCAGATCTATTAAATTATCACTCCAAAGGTATAAAAACAGTTCCAGAACAGAATTCTCTCAAGCCAAGCATCTTTACATTCTATTTTTAGAAAAGGTACTTGTATGATATTTAATGAATGAAACATTACCCTACTATCACTAATAAAGTGACAGTAATACAGAATTGTAAGTTATTTATTTGTAATTTACTACAGACTTACATAGAACAAAAATTATAGCATCAAATAATTTTTCTAACTTAATTTCTTCCATCATTTTATATCACACTGATTTTTGCTGCATTCAACTGAGCAATTCAGGATCAATAAACTACTAGCACTGAGGAACAGACATGTCATATATATCTACTTATCAACTGCTTTCAAACCAAAACTATAGATATGAATACTTACTTATCAAAGCTATCACTATTTTTGATGAAGCTCTCCAGTTTTTCCTTGGCATATTCCACCACATCTGAATGAAGCTCAATCCCATGATTTATTCCAAAAGGACCTGCAATTGTAGCAGCAGCATGTTTATAAAATATATAAATATGTCTTTACAGAGCTCTTTTAATTTCTGCTCATTTATCTATCACAGGAGCATTTGGAGGCTTAAAGATGTGCACATCTGCTAGCCAGATTTAAAAAGCTGAATGGAAATCTCACTATTTGCATGGTTTTAATTTAAAAAAGAAGAAAAGAAAAATGAAAGGCTGTTATAGAGTTCTCTCAAGGGAGTGGCTTATCCATCAGGACAATACTGACAAAGAAATAATATTCCTACATAAAGTTTAAGTTCTTTACCATTACATTTTCATTTATCATTTCTAAAAATTTTATAATTCTAAAATGCCTGAAACCATGGGCTGAGATAGATACTATATAAATATCTCACACCACCCCACTATATGCTAAATTCTTGGAGGGCCAAGACCACATTCCATGCCTTTTGGAGCTCCCAAACTCTAGCAGAATGTGGCCATCAAGACTCTTCATTGCAGAGCTGATCTTACTCTCCTGTTTTAGCATACTTCACACTTCACTTAGTATTTCTTTTACCCATAGCCATGGATAAGTGACATCATAAGAACAAAGAAAAGGAGAGAGCGAGCCCGGGAGATGGTCAACAGATGGTACCTTGGTATACTCGCTGAGAATATGACCAAACAGGATTCACATTTCCTAAAGCTACTGTGCATTATTGCCTGCCCCATGATGCACACGAAAGTAACACACCATCTCATCTAGTTAGGCTAATTGCTTTTGAACTTCCAAAACTGAGCCAAACAGGGTTTTCCACACTACATTTTTGTTATATTTTTGTTTTATTTTGAAATTGGTCTCCTAGGAAAAAGTATGTGTATGTTTTTCTCTCTCTTATACATACTTATTTTCTGTATCTTGTATCTTAAGAACTAATTAACTCGCTATGCCCCCTACTGAATGTCATTAAAAATACAATAATACGGTGGAGTTCTACTGACCTCTAAAATTTTTTAAATAACAAAAGACAGTCATCAATTACCACGTTTGAATGTTCAGAGGGCACATTAAAAAAAAGTGATCTAGAACTACCTAAACTATAAAAATTAAACCAAAATGTTTGGAGACTATCTTCAAGCCAAAATCAGATGATGCTTTAACCTACTACATTTCTATCATATTGCATTTGATTAGTATTATTAAAAAAAAAAACTGGTTATACTTGAAAAATGTATTCAGATAAGAAGGGTAAATAAAAAGGTACTGATCTGTCAAAATACAACAGATAGAATTAACTCCCTTTGCAATGTTTTTATACTTTTAAAGTTATTCTGATTGATGCAATCTTAATGTTTTGATTTGTTGTCTCCTTACGATGGAACTGTTGCTCTTCATCTGAAAACTAGAACATCCATCTGATAGCATTTAAGATCTCTCATAACTCCTTATTTTATCATAAACTGAGTCAAACAAAAATTTACTGTTTTCAAAAATAAAGTGGCTAAAAATAAACTTACAGAACACACAGTGACATCTCTTTTTGATTTATACGGAATCTGAATATTTCGATAACTTGAATTTCCATAAGGAAACAAAGAATGTTAGGAAACACTGAATAAAGTTTTCCTCATTAAAAAAATTCAAATTAAGCCAGTTATTTTAACATTATGTACATAAGGAAAATACTGTTCTATGAAATGAATTCATTTTACCCTTTTAAAGGCGATCCATTTAATGTAAAACAGAGACTTCCATATTTTCATCATCTAGCTATACTAATCAACTATTTTTATGAAAACAAAACAAAACTAGGGCTACATGGGTAAGAGATCAATGAAAAACATCAATATTGCTGTAATTTGAAGTTTCCTGTTAAGACCAAATGCATAAGCACTATAATAGAGTGTCAAGTAAATAATCTGGAAATCAAGGCTTCTATTCAGTCTCTCAAACTGCTTTCTTAACAGAGGGAGTTTGACCTTCAGAGTTCTAGATCAAAGGGACTACACAGGTGTTCATCACTTAAAGACACCACTGGTCTCTTTTTCCTTTCCTTGCTTTCTGCTTATTGTCTAAAACCAAAGTGGCAACTTTTGGAAATAAGGTTAAAGTCTATTAAGAAAATTTCTTAAGGATGTTTTTCATATAACTTATTTTTCACATTACCTTGACATAAAATGAAAACAATTTCATTAACATATAAAGTATTTGACAGTATCATAAACAGACATGCAGAATAGACTATTAACTTCTAGTGCAAAAACACCATTTGTGATTTTTTAGTGAATGAAATTAATGTAAATAACATGGAGACACACCTTTATCACTAATAAATTGAATAATAATTAACATATTGAAAATAAATCTAAAAGAATGCATTATTAAAAGGCAGAACTTAAATAGCAATGTCACCAATATCTCATTTATTTAGAATGTGATATGCAACTAGAACACATCAAGTGTATGATAAAAATGTAGCGTGATACTGTTTATTACAACTCATATTTGACATCTATATTAAATAGAACAGAAAAATAAAACAAAACTAAAAAAGCATACATAGCTGCTTCTAAGGAAAGGGATTAAGAGATCTAGGGTGAGAAGGACAGACACATTTCCATCATTACACCCTTTTGTCTGAAGTGTCTTGACTATACCTATAACTTTTTCCAACAAAAAATACTGGGCTAGTCAAAGAGATGAGAAAAACATGAGTATAAGATTTTCAAATTAATAAAATAAACAATAGAAAGTAATTCTGGTAGAAAGGTACAATGGAAAGGTCAATGGAAAAAAAATGAAACAGTATCCAAAAGAAACTTTGTCAACACTTTTTAACACCATATCTAACAGATAAAGCATAAATTTAATTTTGTATTCAATAGTTTCCAATGCTATTTTGTATTTGCCAATGTGAGGTTTTTCTATAAAATGAGAAAGGCATCATTTTTGTAATACATATAAAAAAAATAAAAGTACTAACAGTTGACCATTATCTTTAACAGGTAAATATTAAAGGAAAAATAGAAATATACACAGTACACAGAAGTCAAAGTTTATTAAGACAAACAGTTACTAGAAAAACCTAGGTATCCTATGTAATATTAGATGTGATTTTTAAGGCTGGCAAAGGCCTATTTATTAAGAGCAATAACAAATATAACAAAATTCCAATATAATAAAATCTAGAGACTATTATTCCTTTGTAGTAGTTGGATCTAATCTAGCTCATTTATATCAGTCAATAATCAAACCATATGTTATATAAAGGTCAATAATTATTAGCTTTAGGTGTCTATTCAATATATAGATCTCTTCTTTACATCAATGTTGACCCTATGTGACACCCAAAACTCCAGCTTCGTTCTCTGAGGCACCCTGAAAGGCTTTTTGAGTGTGGTATGCAGGGTAGAGCTGGCCTGAGGCAATCCAGGGAAATCAGGAGAGCTTCACACGTTTTAATCAAGTTTTCAGTGTCTTCAGTATTTTGTGTAAAGCTAATTTACAGAACACAGCCACAGGCAAAAAAAAAAAAAAATACTTCATGATACATAAACTAGAAGAGCTCTCAAGATAAACTAATTTAAGATCCATCATTTCAATTGAGGACTCAGATCTAAATTCTATGGAGCAGTAGGAAAGAGAGTGGATTTAAGGTTAGATGTCCTAGTTTCCAATCCTGGTTCCTCCTCCTAACAGCTGCATAATCTCAGACCAGTCACTTACCCTTTGAAGTCTTTCCTATTGCATAAAACGGGTTCCTGGGAAAATCAAGTAAATTATGTAAAAGTGCTTCACCCACTATAAAGTACAAAATGGGTACAAATTATTAAAAATCATAACGTGCCCTCTCTTTGCATACAGAACTGACTAGCTATATAAGCAAAACCATAACCTCTAAGTAGTTCTCAACTCTGACTGCATACCTGGGAATTTTTAAATTATATTTAAAAGTAGATTAAATTTAATTTAAGCTGTAAATGCTTGGTTCCCAACCCAGGCAGGCAGAGGGAATCTCCTAGGGTATGGCCCAGGCCCTGCAGATAACCTTAAATGCAGCCCAGGTTGAGCACACTAGCCACATCCCTAATTTTTAAAATCTCTTTGGACTATCCAAATCTCTATTCTCACTAATAGTAAGTGTTATCAAGAGTTAGTAACTGCCAATAAAAGCATTATGGATAAAACTAAGTATTTACCACAAGAGGGAGCAGGTGAATCAGTTATTTGGTTTCTATGAACCTAGTGTAAAGTTGCTCAGTAAGAACTGAAATATATAATGTAAAAACATCTTTTAGTGAGTTCCAAAGATATTTTATTACTAATTTCAGTTGTATAAAATAAGGAATCTTTGGGAAGACTTCTAAGTAAGTTTATAAGAATTCAGGGACAGTAACATACGGTAAGCAGACAAGATTAGGTTTCACTCTGTGAACACCTCGGAGTATAACAGACATAAAATAGTGCAAAGGTAGATAAAGGAAGGGCAGTAAAAGGAATCAGCAAAAGATTAGGTAATCATTAACTAGATAAAAAGAAACATCTCATGTACTGACACTTAAAAACAATTAATTTCTTATGGTTTCTCCATCCTATATATATTACACAAAAAGAGCATGTTAAGAGAAAAACAAACACTCAAATGTTTACTGAGTCTGGCCACGTCAGCATAACTATTCTGAAGCTACCTAGATATATCTAAGACTAGACTAGAGACTTGGTTCTCTGCTCTCTAGCTTAGGAAAGGCCTCATGAAGCAAATCCTGAAAAATTTTCCAGAAGTTCCAGTTCTGGCCCCTCGAGCTCCTCTCAGCTGATGGATTATAAATGTGGTTTTTCTTTATTACACTTTAATCTCAGATATATGTTTACACAAAATCTGAACATACTGGTTTAAACAGTCACAGAAAATGGATCCAAACCCCTACGTAAACTACATGTCTAAAATACCAAAAACAGACATCACAATCAGCTCATTTACATATTTCCACCAAGCAGGCTAATACTCAATTCTAATATGTTTACAAC